TGTGTATTGGTTTACATCCCTATCCCCCAGCTGAATCACAAACTCCCTGAACACTGGGACTGTCTTTCATCTGTACATCGCTAACATAAAACAAGAAGTGGTGCACAATAGCTGCTCATTAAATGTTTGCTGACTCAGTGAAAAATTATACTTACTATGGCCTATTTGTTTAAAAATAAGGTTAATAAAATCAGCAACTTAGTTCTTGAGATTAATAAAATGTATTATGGGTACATTCCAAGCCGACCAAGCTAATCAATGCCATAAAGCAATGCTGCGCACAAGGGCGTCCCTTGTGGCTCAGCTGGTAAAGAATCCGCATGCAATGCGGGAGACCTGGGTTCGATCCCTGGGTTGGCAAGATCCCCTGGAGAAGGGAAAGGCTACCCACTCCAGTATTCTGGGCTGGAGAATTCCATGGACTGTATAGTCCGTGGGATCGCAGAGTCGGACCTGACTGAGTGACTTTTGCTTCACTCACTGTAAGAACTGGCACCATCTCAAGTAGTGCTTGAGATCCAATAATTTCATTCTATTTTCACTACTGTTCCTACTAGAGGTGTTAAAGTCTCAACCATGACAACTGCTCCTGTCCAAGACACTCAGTACCTTGACTGATTCAACAACACTTTTCTGATGTGTGACCATCCCTATCAAGGGCTTCAGTGAACAGGTAGTCAACATAGGGGCAAAACCCCAACCTAGTTACATGCCACTGATTGGAAGTTAGTTATCTGGTGACATCAAGTCTCCACAGAACCCAGTGAGAATTGGGCAGGGGAGCTTAAGAGTGGTCAAGATACACATTGACGTTCATGTACTAAAGTATACACACACTTTACCTACTTAAGAGGCTGTGAGGTCCTTACTCAAACTCTAGTTGTCTTATTTTAAGCACAATTTGGATGACTGATTTCCCAGGCATCAGAATATTAGAAGAAAATTAGGAAGTCTTATTAAAGCTAAAAATGCAGACACAAATACAAACAGAAAAAGAAACATGACACCCAAAGGTGAAACACAAAAACTACAAAACTGGAGGGTTGTGTGGCTGAGGAACAATAATTCTATATATTTAAGTTGTGATACAATACAGAAATTAACGTTCATAATTATGACCTTGGGTCATCAAAACAAAGACAAGTTAAACAACTTTAGGTCTAAAAAGGTTCAAGAAAATAAATGATACATTTTATAAAATGAATCAATTAAAAATTGTGTTATACATAAAGAGTCAACTTTCTACCCTTTGCAAAATAAACTTTTTTGAAATATGTCATTCCCAAATAACAAGAGGCATGCTGACTCTAAGCTACTTATCACTGTCAGACATTAACTAGTTTCTGTGACTACAGACGTCACCACAATCATGATTCACAACCATTACAAAACAAAGCCTGGATCTACTGGCCATTAGATTATTGGTGGTAGTACTAGCCAAACACACTGTCCCATGGACACCATAACCCAGGATGTTAGAACTGACTACCTACCAGTCTTTAACAGACCTCTATAAAGATTCACTACCATACTGCTTTCAAGGTCCCTGGTATAAAGCTGGTTAGCAGGTCAGACTATTTTAAGGAAATTTCTGTAACACTTTAGTACTAATAGCTACATGTGTAGGATTTAAAGAGCAGCACGGCAGAGTGAAAGAACACTCCTGAGTGATGGACACACACAGCCCTAGGCTTTAATCTCTGCCTTGTTAATTACAACTGTGACTGCAGCACCTTGTTTATGCTCAGAGACTTACTTTCATTTGGGAAATGGGGACAATATCTTCTACTGCCTATGTTTCTTGTGCAGAACAAATCAGATAATGTTCATAAGGTGCCAACATAGGTTTTTAAAAAGCCTGGCTATTGGGATTATCAGATATAGAAACGAAATGATCTTAACCCACACTAGGATAAGTTTTGTGAAACTGTGTGCTGTATTAATAACACACAAGTGTTTACAGGGAAAGCGCTTTATTTTCTAACTCACAGTAGAAGTCCCCTGACTCATAGACTGGTTCATGGAAAAGCAGGTCAAAGTGAGGACTCCATAAAACAAGTATGCACATAAACTGTAGAGATATTAACTTAGCAATTAATGCAAATATTCTGAGAGGGGGCAGGCCTTCTTACTGAGGAGAGGTCCACTCACTGGAGCACCGCACTGATCTCCTTAAATAAACAATATCTACACTGCAAAGTCTGGGATTGCCAGAGTCAGTCACTTTAAACTAACACAGGGACAGAAAGAACTGCTGCTCCTACCCCCATCTTTACAGTGTACTTAAACTAATTCAATAGCAATTTTATTTTAAAAAGATTCCCTTATGGTGCCTTTCTAAACATTAAAATTAGCTTTCATAAGAACAAAGACCCTTTTGAAACTCATATTTTATTAATTTATGTAATAATCAAATAAATTATTTAGCAATAATATAAATGGCTTGGGAATAAACATAACTAGCTTTTGCTAAATATATACCTCAACTGAAAGAAGCAAAAATGCCCAGTTATGGTCCAGAACTATTAGTTTCTAATTGTCTAATTCTAAGTGCTGGTACCATCCTAAAGCAGATCAGTCCTGGGTGTTCATCGGAAGGACTGATGTTGAAGCTGAAACCCCAATACTTTGGCCAGCTGATGCAAAGAGCTGACTCATTTGAAAAGACCCTGATGCTGGGAAAGATTGAGAAGGAGAAGGGGACGACAGAGGATAAGGTGGTTGGATGGCATCACCGACTCAGTGGACATGGGTTTGGGTAGACTCCGGCAGTTGGTGATGGACAGGGAGGCCTGGTGTGCTGCAGTTCATGGGGTCACAAAGAGTCGGACACCACTAAGCGACTGAACTGAAATGCTGGTATGGGTTAATGGGTTTTATAAAAGAAAATCTTGATTAAATTTAATAAGTCAGTTAATTCAAAGATAACTGCCAAAAAAGTTAATGCCAGGGTCATTTTGGTATGCTATAATCTGACTTCTGATTCCAAGTCATAAACTGATGTTTAAAAAACAAAATGATTAAAACTTTTGAGGCTGGTACTGTAAGAGTTAGGTCCCAACCACACTGCCAAAATTTCTGAATGTAATTATAATATGTCTACTTTGCAACTCCCTCAAAGTAGGTCACAACACTATTATTCATGCCTAAATACTATACTTTATATTCTAAACATTACTATTAATGCAATGTCTTTCTAGACTTAATTTTTCTTTTAAAAGTGCTTTTCAAACTTTTTTTGTATGATAGAAATACTCACTACCACTCCTCCCAACACCTTAAACAAGGCGTTACCAGAACTGTAATATATAAAAACAGTGAAAGCAGAGTTGCTCTGAAATAGGACCTAACTGCCCCCTTTTCTCCCAGAGTAATCTCTGAAGCCTTTTGGCATAACTCTACCCGATTTAATGGATATGAACCTGGGCAAACTCTGGGAGATGGTGAGGGTCAGGGAAGCCTGGCATGCTGCAGTCTATGGGGTTGCAAAGAGTCAGACATGACTTGGCAACTGAACAACAACAGGCTTCTTGGAACAAAAATTGAAAACTTGTTCTTTTAAACAATCAGAAATGAATATTAAAACAAAAAAAGCTATAGAACTTATTCAGAGGCTGTAATTTAGCTAATTAGAATATTCAGTTAACCGAAACAATTTGGGATCCTTATCAGTTATCACTTTTTTTAAAAAGAAGCATTCTGGTGGCATTTTAAACATTTAGCAATAGAAGCAAGGGTCAAAGGTCTTCTCTGACTACTGTTATCTTCTACTCACCAAACATCTTGTCAGCATATTACCTCTTCTTACTCATTTAATTACCAATTTTTAAAACTGATTTGTGCACTAGTTTATTATCTATTCTCCATTCTCCCAAGAGACTAAGTTCCCCTAACTTCATGGAAGCAGAGAGCTAGTCTGTCTTGTTTATGAGCCCTTACAACAGTGCCTGCCAAACTGAAGAGACCCTAAATCCTTGCGTAGTGTTAGCAAGAGCAAGAACAGATCATTTTTCATTAATAGACAATGTATCAGTAATTTGAAAATGAAGTACTGCTTTATTTCATGTAAAGAAATCCTTACTTCTCTTCCCTATAACTGATAAGCTTTACATCATGCCATCATGGATGCCACCCAGTTGAACTGGCCATCCTTATTCTTACAAGTTGACCTAATGTGAAGCCAGACCAGCAGGTATTAGCTTTATAAAAAGATGCATTTTATATATAAGTCTGCTGAATTATGAATATTTTACCTGCTCAGCCAAATTTATTATAAACTGGCAAATGCCAGTGACATACATGTTTCTTTATATTTGTATATATTAAAAATTTATGGAAAAAATTCATTTCCATCTTGCTGACTATTGTTTTCCAATCTCAGAGTTTTAGTTCTGCATCTCTGTTCCCTCTTTATATTCTACTCCCAGGTCTCCCACCTTAGTGGTTTTCATAAGGCATATTTATATTCACAATTATCTTTACTTACAAAGACTATAAACAGAATGAATTCTGTTCAAATAATAGGAAAAATGGTAATCCAGAGAGCAGACACAAAACAGGAAGAAAAGAAAATGATAAAGAATCAGAATTTGGTACAACAAGAGAAAAGAACATAAAGAAAGAGAAATCAGAGGTTTCTCTTGAAAGGCAAATGGAGACTGTGAAAAAGAAGAGGCACAAAAGTTACACATACAATGCGTTGAATAGCATGTATTACTCCAAAGATGGTTTTAATTTTATGATGTGGAATGGTTTATTATCAGGATGGACATTCAAATCTTCCCCAAAACTGATCTCACTGCTTTGAGAAGACATGAATCTAGCCTAACTTGACTAATATAACATGAGGTGAACTTGGCCTAAGTTAACTAACTAGCATGATGAAGAGAAATAATATTTTCTATCTTTTCAAAAAATCACCAACTAAAGTCCAAGAATACGTTTGAGATATCTCAACTTTTATGCACACTCTCAAAGCATCTGGAAATGATTCTACTTACTCTCCATCCACTTCCGGTCTTTTACATACACAATGAAACTTGCCGCCGAAATCTATATAAAGATCGTTCTCCACGATATGAAAGATTCGCCCAATGACTATTTTATCCTTTGCAGGTCCCATCTGTGTAAGAGGAGAATGTCTCAGCATAGACGCGAAGGATTCCACACTTTTCGGAGAGCCCTAATATGAAAAGAGACAGTGACACACATGTAATTCAATGCAAAGGTATAACATAGTAAGCACAGTAACAGCTTCCGTGCCCACGCAGCCACAACCTCGTGGCTTCTCTGGTGACTTGGACGGTAAAGAATCTGCCTGCATTGCAGGAGACGAGGGTTCGATCCCTGGGTCGGGAAGATCCCCTGGAGAAGGCAATAGCAACCCACTCCAGTATTCTGGGAAATCTCATGGACAGAGGAGCCTGGAGGGGGTCTCAAAGAGTCGGACACAACTGAGCAACACACACACACACACACACACACACACACACACACACAGAGTAATAGCTTACAGGGGAAGCTTTTAAAAGTCAATTCGCTGTATATTTGTTTTGCAGCGATAATAAAAACACTGAAATAAAATCTTGCTTTAAAAAGTCAGGTACACTCTTCAGCTTCCTCCTCATTCTTTTCGTCCTTGAAGAGCCAGAGAAAAGCAGCCATCTGTGCTTGGGCGGAGATGTGTTGGCCCCGGGTGGAATCTGGAAGGTGGGCAGGTAAGAAGAGTCTTTAGACAAAGCCTTAGGCCTGGGGTGAGGAGGGGGTGAGGAGGTGAGTACGCAGGGAGGGTATCCCAGAAGGTAACTGGCTTCATTCCTATATGCTGTGCTTAGTCACTCAGTCGTGTCTGATTCTTTGCGACCCCATAGACTGTAGCCCTCCAGACTCCTCTGTCCATGGGATTCTCCAGGCAAGAACACTGGAGTGGGTTGCCATGCTCTCCTCCAGGGGATCTTCCCAACCCAGGGATCGAACCCAGGTCTCCCTCACTGCAGGTGTTCTTTACCGTCTGAGCCAGCAGGGAAGCCCTCATTTCTATATGACTAACCACACACACACAAAAAGCCTTTGAATATAGGTTAATGAAAGTGACTATAGTTTTAATACAAATTTAAATATACATTAAGATAAAAATGACTATGGGTCATATAATTAGTAGTCTGAATTAGCAGTTCTTGTTACATAATATTTTTAAATGACCTGACTTTAATTTTAACATTATATTTTAATGCTGTAATTTTCTTCTTTTTCCTAAAATAAAATTTTAAAGGAAAGACAGCTTTAACTGTTTTGTGGTACTCATTTCTAGAAGTTGTTTTACATACTGAATTTATTTGAAGTAGGGTTAAATATATAATACATGCCAATTATTTCTTTTTTTTTCTTACAAAAATTTTTTTTCCAAGCACATGCTTTTTAAGAAATCCTTACAGATTTGTGCCTTCTACTCATCTCTGGTGGAGAAGGCAATGGCAACCCTCTCCAGTACTCTTGCCTGGAAAATCCCATGGGTGGAGGAGCCTGGTAGGCTGCACTCCATGGGGTCGCTATGAGTTGGACACAACTGAGCAACTTCACTTTCACTTTTCACTTTTCTGCATTGGAGAAGGAAATGGCAACTCACTCCAGTGTTCTCGCCTGGAGAATCCCAGGGACGGGGAAGCCTGGTGGGCTGCCATCTATGGGGTCAGACAGAGTCGGACACGACTGAAGCGACTTAGCAGCAGCACTCATCTTTGGGCTCCCCTGGGGCTCATTAGTAGAGAATTTGCCTGCCACTGTAGGAGACACAGGTTCAATCCCTGGGTAGGGAAGATCCCTTAGAAAAGGAAATGGCAACACACTTCTTTATTTTTGGGAGTGGGGGTATCAGTTAAAATTTTTTAATGTATGAAGCATATGCGCATTGGTGAGTAGTCATCCAGCCATGTCCGACTCTCTGTGACCCAAAAGACTGCAGCCCACCAGGCTCCTCCGTCCTTGGAATTTTCCAGGCAAGAGTACTGGAGTGAGTGCCGCTTTCTTCTCCAGGGGATCTTCTCGACCTAAGGATCAAACCCTCATCTCCTGTATCTCTTGCAATGGCAGGGGGATTCTTTACCACTGAGCCACCTGGGAAGCCTATAAAGCATATGCATAAATTAATATGTATAAAACTATCATGCATATGAAGAGATTTATATACAGCTTGGAATCAGAGGAAGGACGAGATATCAGTGAGTGCAGGCACCTCATTTCACACATGAATACCATATCTGCTACTCACAACCACGTGACAGGCTGAAAAGTGATTTTAAATACAAGTTGCCTCAAAAGATGGAAAGTAGAAACATGACTAAAAAACTTAAAAAGAAGCAAACAGGACAGCAGAATAATAAATATTCAGGAAATCTGGGTTCTATGAGTAACTCAGCCACTAAACAACTAAAAATCTCGACTGTCACTTAACCTCTCTGGATCTGTCTTCTCACTTGTTAATGAAAAGGTTGGATACCTATCAAGTTTAGTAGTAGGAATTCTTAAATATTCTACAATGTAAATATGATTTTATAAATTAGTAAACCATTGAAAAGGGAAGACAAATCCTACCCAGCTCCCTCTTTTAACACAAACAGTAACAAAAATAGTGAAATGGTATATGTGCTTTACTTCACATTAGTTAGCAAGAAAAACATCTTGACATGTGTCTTCTCTGACAGGTAATTTAAAACTGACTTCCTTCTATTAACTGTGCTGCAACATCTTCAGTTTCTTCAACCCTAACCAATAAATGCTATGCTCATAACAATGTTCTTTCAATAAAATTAATGGAGTAGTGGTTCAAGATGGCTCAGTGGATACTTAACATCTCTCTCTGCCTCCCTCTGAAATTCCATTCAGTGATGGTAAAGAAAGAAAGTGAAAGTCACTCAGTTGGGTCTGACTCTTTGCAACTCCATGGACTACAGTCCATGGGATTCTCCAGGCCAGAATACTGGAGTGAATAGCTGTTCTCTTCTCCAGGGGATCTTCCCAATCCAGGGATGAAACCCGGGTCTCCTGCATTACAGGCACATTCTTCACACGTTGAGCCCCCAGGGAAGCCCAAGAATAATGGAGTGGGTAGCCTATCCCTTCTCTAGTGGATCTTCTCAACCCAGGAATTGAACCAGGGTCTCCTGCATTGCAGGCAGATTCTTTACCAGCTGAGCTCCTAGGGAAGCCCAACGATGGTAAAAGAATGGACAAAAAAATTACAAACTGCCAATATTAAAGAGAACAGAACGGAGACAAAAAGTATGCAAGAAATTTAAACAACTTTCTAGTGGACCAAAAGCATGCAGAAGGGTGATAACGAGTGAAGGAGAGTGAAGGAAACTGAAGCTAAAAATACACAGAAGGAAGAAGCTATGAAAATAAGTCAATCTATTCTGAAGAATCCCAAAAAGGCACAGGACTCCATCATGCCAGGAATTATAGAAAGCTGTAATGAGAAGCGAGGCTGAAAACAAGTGGAATAATTAAAAGAATATAGTCAGGGAAGGCAATTTTCTGTCCAGCACAGAACATTTGACAGAAAGGCCAAAGTGCACCACACCTAGAAATAAGGTGTTTATTGCCCTGGCAAAATAAATACAATATATTTTTTATCTTCTCTAAAAAACATAATAATTAAATAAATGGTCTAGAGAAATAAGTCTGGAGGGCTGATTATGCAGCAATAGGTAACTCAGTCCATCAGGAAAGAAAAGAATCAAAATGACAGCTGTCTGGCAAGGTATGAGCAGTTAGTAAGGCCTGGAGTAGGAGCACAAGGTCCTAAAGGCTCTGAGGTTGGACTATGTGGCTCAAGTCCTGACGGTACCGCTTACCAGCTCTGTGGTTGGGGCAATGCACTTAGACTCTCTGTGCTACTGTTTACTCACGTATAAAAGGGTGTTCATAATTATACCTATTTCACAGGGCTGCTATGAGGATTAAATAAGTATATAGCCACATGTAAAGCTCTCAAAATATGCCTCTGGTAGGACCAAAACCCCCTAAAATGTAGCTTAAAAAAATTAATCAATTCACTATAGACCCAGTCATCACTGGGGCTTTCTGGGTGGCTCAGATGGCAAAAGAATCTGCCTGCGATGCAGGAGACCCAGGTTCGATCCCTGGGTTGGAAAGATCCCCTGGAGGAGGGCATGGCAACCCACTCAAGTATTCTTGCCTAGAGAACCCCACGGACAGAGGACCCTGACAGGCTACAGTTCAAGGGGTTGCAAAGAGTTGGACACAACAGAAGCAACTTAGCATTCATGCATAGGCAGAAATTCAGATTCAATATATTAGCTTAAGTCGCTGGGAGAGGCTTTTAATAGCTTGCTTGGTGGACTGAATGAAACCTGGACCCAACGACCGACTACACTAGATGAAGTTGAAATACCAGAACTTCCTTAGTATACCACTGAGAAAGGTATTCAAAGGCTAGAAGAGAATATAACGTTAGGATGGATTTATTATTTATGATCTGTTCACCACCTCTTATTATGGCCCCAGGAGGATCTGTAAGATACGCACTTTACCAAGACTAAGAGAAACACCTTTGAGAAGGGAGTTCCAGCATTCCTGAGAGCCGTGTGGTAGCTGTTCTCCGTAGGTCAGGACTGACGGGGAGAACTGCTGCCAACAAGAGCTCCCTGAACTCAATGGGAAATAATGAGATCCTTTAGTGGCAGGAGTCAGCTCAGCGCTTCTGAGCCAACAACATGATGGGCATGGTTATCATAATACTGCAGAGCCTAACAACCTGTAGAGTTCTCTGGTACTAACTGGTTGGTTATGGTGTCCTTAGAAATAACATAGATGGGAAAACTCTAATTCTAGAGAACAAAAGCCTGATTTGAATCACCACATATGAAACTCACAGCCCCTCAACCAGTTCCCAGACATCCAAGTTTTTCAAATGAAGAGGAGGTATACTGGACCACCACTCTTCCTTCCAACTTTCCCAAAGGATGTGTGGTTATTTACCAGAACTGAGGGAGGAGAAATTAGCAGACTTTTCAGAGATAATCTGAACTGATACTAACTCTTCAAGAACAAATTCACTAACTCTTCAAGAACAAATTCAGTGCCAGTCAGAACAAGGGCTTATGGAAATCGCGTGATAAATGGAGTTTTAGCTCAGATCTATCTCATGAACCTGCTCTATGG